ATGTGAGTAGATGTATGCACAATGGATATGATAATGATGCACAGTTGAGTCATCGATTGGAATCCCCTTCCCCTGTATCCAACGTACCTGTGAGCATCTTCAGGCTGCGGTGTCTACGGTGTGCAATCACGGCCCACCCGCCTGCCCTTTGTTTACCCTCGTGTGCAATGAGCCTTACGTCCAACTGATCTGGCTGATCAAGAGGCAATTTAAGGACAGCTCCCGAGAGTCCTCAGGAATTATTTAACGTCGCAATCAGGACGACGATCACAGCCAGTGGACAGATTGGACCCCAGCCAGAAATGTTTATAGACGGTCTGGGAGTGTCTGTTCCAGAAATATTTGTAGACGCTCTGGGAGCGTCTGCATTAGGACTGGTCAGTCCGCACACCACTTCTATCAGTGCGGCAAAGAGCCTCAATGGGCAAAGCAGCATAGCCGTGTACTACTCCCATGGGTTGGCATGGTGACCGTGACCCGTGCTTCGACCAGGGCCCTTCAGAGGCACCGCCCTCTCCTGCCAGATGCGCCACCAGGAAGAATGTCGTCTCTCAAGATAGAGCGCACACGACTCCTTTCAAAAGAGAGGACACTCAAGTTGGACTCACTTCGTCATGGTAAGGAGAGATTGAGAGGGTAGATAAGGAATGGGAACAACGTACCTGGAGATAGCTGCCCCCAACCACAGATTTCTCACCAATTGGGCCGACGTGCATTGCGATGACCGGTCAATAGCCTCGGTACCACCCACAACGCAATGTAGTGCCACATTACCCAAAATGCCGCGTCAGCATACTTTCATCATCATACATACATCCGCTGTTGCCACAACCCTCCAGCGGCTGGCCCCTCTACCTGGACCCCACTCGTACAAATCATCGCCAAAGTATCCTTACTGCACATGAAGCATCGTCAGCGCAACAAGTAACAATGTCGCCGGTGCCAGGTAAGCGGCGATCACGAACCAGCTCCGATACCAAATTGCAAGGAATATGAGTGTGAATGATATACAGAAAACCAAGTTGTGAAATCACACAGACGTCCAGGTAGTCGTGTCCAAGCAGAGAGTACAAAATGCACCAAGAAACCATCCATATAGAGCAATACTATGAAAGTAATGAGCCAATGTTCAACCCCGTAGGCCACGCCAAAACAGTATCCAAAGTTGCTCCTCTCTGTCTGGCGTCCAGCGCCCAGCCTACTCTACCCGACTATCCTACCTACAGCTGGTTCACGCAACAGGCTCACTTCGACTCTCGAAGACCAATGTACATGACTGTCAACATCATAGCCGACCTCTCTTCATGTACCAGGTACGTATCTCATCACCCTCAATCAGACCTTGATAACCCCACACCCGCGTCCTTCCCTGAAGACCTTGCCCAGAACATGTGATGTCTGATAGGGCCCGGGGACACATAACACATCTTGATTACTTAGTCAGTCTCATGGTCAGTCTGTGCAGTCTCGGGCAGTCTTTGCAGTCTTGGGCAGCGGAAATAGTCTAGAGTGTTTGGAAAACATTCAAAAATTGTCTACTATCACGAATATGTGTCTTTTGCCCAGTTTGCTGGTCCATGGAGAGGCACTGTCCAGCAGGAACCGGCAGAGGTTTTACCAAACCAAGTGGTTGAGTCCGAGGTTTGTCCCTTTGGCAACGTGGCATATTTCTATGTTCTTGTCACCGAAATGTCATGTGCGTCACGATGCTCTCGTAGAAACAAACTACACAAAGACTCACTGTTGTACGCACAAAGTCGTTTATTCCCAGCGTTCTCAAGGAAGAGCAGTCCGGCGACCATCACAAACTTGTCAGACAGCTTTGTCCAGTGCTTCGAGTCTGCGAATGATCTCAGTTAGCTCGCACTCAGGTATCAAGGTACCAAAGTAATCCTGCTATGTGAGACAGACAGCACATCAGCAACCTTATTATACTCTCCCTTGAGATTGTTGAAACGGAAGTCGTACATGTCTATGCCTTCTATCCAGCATTTCAGAGCATCAGAGAGAGAATGCTGCATTTTGATCCACTGGAGAGTCTCATGGTCCGTCCTTATCTCGGAAGGTCGGCCAAGGAGATAGTGCTTACAGTGAGTCAAAGCCTTGTAGAGGGCATAGAGCTCCCGCTCATAGGTTGATCAGTTTTCTGAAGGCATTTTCTTGCCCATGCACTCGACGGGCCTCAACTTCTTACACACCCGCTGCCGAAGTACCACGCCTATACCATATTGGCTTGCGTCGGTAGTGGCAAGAAATGACTTCTGTGATTTTAAGGGATTTCTTTGTGTCGGGGCGCACTTCAACCTTCTGAAGGCATGTTCGCATTCAGCTGTCCATTCCCAAGGGGTGTCAAGGCGGGTTAGATCGGTCAAGGGGGCTGCAATCACACTATAGTTCCTAACAAACGGACGACAGTAGCCCATCATCCCCAAGAACGATTGGACCTCAGTCACGGACCGAAGTCGTGGCCAGTCTCTAATGCTGGCCACCTTGGCATCCTCAGGCCTTAGACCATCCACGGAGGTTTCAAATACAACATCCTGGTGGGACCAAATTCACAGTTTCCCAGGTTGATCTTGTACTTGTGTTTGCAAAGGAGACCTAGCACGATGTCCAAGTGTTGTGTGTGCTCCTGGACAATCCTACTAAAGAAAAATATATTGTTGAAGTATATGACGATGAACTTGGCCAAGTAGTCATGAAAGATCCTATTCATGGCGTGCTGGAATGTAGTTGGGGAATTACGAAGACCGAAAGGCATCAGCACAAACTCGTACAGACTGTATCGTGTCTGAAAAGTGGTTCTGTGCCGATCCTCTGGCCCAATCTGCATCTGATGGTACCCGGTCTTCAGATGTATCTTGCTGAAGTTCTTACATCCCTGCGCCCTATCCAAGAGGTCGTCGATGCAAGGTAGGGACTCTGCATTCTTAACAGTGATGGCATTGAGGCCCCTATAACCAATGCACACCCTTAGCTTATTCCCTTTCTTAGGAACAAAGAGTACTTGCGCACCACAGGGGGGACACACTAGGCCTGATCCAGCCCCTCTCTGTCAGCTATTTCAGTTGTCGGTGGAGCTCATCTAACTCCACAGGAGATATCCTATAGAACCTACCCCTTGGTGGTTCCCTACTTGGGATAATGTCTATCGCGTGGACAACCTCCCTGTCTACGACACCTGATGGCTCTTCTAGAAGGTCTGGATATTTAGCGATGACTTTTTCAATCTCCGGAGGGTCTTGACAGCCTGCCCCTTCTGAGATACGAATACTAAATACATGTTTTCCTCTTGGTTTTGTCTATAGTATTGTTGATCATGAGTACACAAGTAGAGGTGACCGTCTGCCATACACTGGGATATATTGAATTTCCTTAGACTGACTATCCTCCCATCAGGCAACGTCATCGTCTTTCGTTCCCAGTCCAACTGGGTCTTGGTAACCTCGAGATAGAACATGCCCAATAGCATATTGAATGGTAGAGCGTCGCTAGCCAGAAATGAGACTTTATATCTCAGTTGTCCTCCCGCATAACAGAACGTACAGACTACGTCCTTCACGTAGTCTTTGACCGCTATCCGCTGCTTGTTGGCTAAGGTAGATACTACAGGTCTGCTAAGCTGCTGCACCCAGTCCTCTAAATGCAGTCTCTCCATACAAGCGTGGCTTATGTAATCTTGTAGAACCGATGTCTACAAGTGGCCCTGTTTTACGGCCACGTACATTGACTTCTACAACAATCATTTTCCCTGCTTCTGCCATTGTTACCCAGGATGCTAGTATGCCCTTGTCGGCACATTCTTGCTGTAGCTCTTCAGACACATCCCGTGAACAGAGCATCAAGTGGTCTGGATGAGTTTGCGGTGTTACGGTGGGGTCAGCGGCCTTCGCCTTTTGCTGAGAAGGTGAGGGATCACCAACTAACTCAGCCCCTGTCGAAGAGGCCACTACTTCTACTGGCTGGACATGTTTCCCTGGGAGGTACTTGCAGTACTCCCCTTGGACCCCTGTGCCTGATGCTGCCCAATGTTGGGCGGCACCTTCGTCAATCGATCTCTCTGCTCTCATGGTTGTGGGAAGGGACCTGCACTTGTTCTGTCGTTCATTATCAGTTGAAGTTGTGCCTTTGTTGTTTCCAATCTGTAAGGAATGCCAGCCGCCAGTCAGAGACTATAGTATCTGCACATGCAAGTCTCCTTTGTTTTTTTAGGTCAGGACTTTCCCACATCTAGTGAAGTAATGGGGTCAGTGATTACTCGTCTGACACGGCAATGAGTTTACCACTTTCATCGGCCAACATCCGAACCCTTGGAATTGACCTTCCACCATTACTGATGGGGTAAGACTATGCCTTCACCATATTCACTACAGTCACCTGTCAGAACTCACGTACGAGCGGTACGAATGATGTCTGCAAGAAAGACGAAGAGTCGTTGTCAGACACATCATTCTCATCACAGCAGAGAGAACCAGACTCGTCACATCCCGGAGCTGGAGAAAACGTAACCTTCTCTCCTCTATAAACGAGCTCAAAATGGTGAAGGCGTAAATTACAAGGTCGAGTTAACGCCGTGGTAAGTACCTACTCTGAAGTCAAACATGCTTACTTCTTTTATATCAATATATATTGAATTAAGTCGTACGACGTGTCCGTGCAAGCCCATTTCGGACCTACTCTGAAGTCAAACATGCTTATTTCTTTTACATCAATATATTGAATTAAGTCGTACGACGTGGTCCGTGCAAGTCCATTTCGGACGTGTCCGTCCAAGTCCAATTCGGACTGGTCAGATTGTCAGCTATGTCGTGTTGAAGTCTGCCTGGAGTAATTGATGGATTGATGCTGTTTAGCTTCTAAGGAGGGGAGGGACTGTAAACACGTGAGTGATGTGTCCTTACGAGGTGGGGAGCAAGTTGGCAAGTTGACGTCAGAAGACTTCGTTTTGGGCCCGAACACGGAGACATTCAACCCCTTCTGACAGGTTGCATTTTCTGCAGGTCAGGTATTGCTTGAGGAAGTTGTTCAAGGACAGGGCAGTGTCCGCACCCCCTCCGATCCGGCCTTTAGGGCCTCTTGAGCGCCTTGACAAGATTTGGAGAGGAGAAGACTCGGTAGTCCGGGGTCTTCTACGGAGCATGGCTCAGCATGTCTCTTATGACTACCATCAGGAGCTCAGCAGAAAAGTGTGTGAGAGAGAGCCGTCAGAGCATGGGGATGTTGAAGCAGACACTAAAAGGGCCTTGTTGTGGTACGTAAAATGCCGAGAAAGTTCAATGAAATGTAACATCGAATAAAAATTTTGAAATGACCGCACTCCCTCTGTCTGCAGATATGCATGTCTCTCATGACTCAGGCACAAAATGATTCCGAAAAGATTGTGAGATTTAGACTTGTAGGCCTTGGGAACATTGAGGTGTATTGACGGAGGGGGCTTATCGCAGTATGGACAAGTGCGACTAAAAAAAGTGCGAATAAGAGACCTATGTGCCTCTTAGAGGATACTTGTACTAAGGATTTCCTTGATGCATTGGACCACAATTACAACCGGTTTGGATGAACCAGTGTGTGATTACATTCACAGATCAGCTGAAGGAGGGGGTGGGTTGGGGGGGGGGGGGGGGGGGGCTGGGGGGGGGGGGGGGGGGGGGGGGGGGGCTGCTGTTGGATGGCCAAGGGGCTTGGGGGGAGGCTATCTGCAGACTGCAAACACTGCACGGCTGCTCTGCACCCTGGAACGCTGCAATGTGCAGAGGATGGAGGGGGTACAAGGTGGGGGGGAGGTGGGGCGGCGGCTGGGGGGTACTCTGTTGGATGTCAGAGGGGCTTTGAGGGGGGTGGTGGGCTGGGGCTGTTGGATGGCCGAGGGGCTTGGAGGGAGGCTATCTGCAGACTGCAACACTGCATGGCCGCTCTGCACCCTGGAACGGTGCAATGTGCAGTGTGCAGAGTTCAACCCTGCACTGAAACTTGTCGCAGACTGCAATCTCTCACATTCAAACTTCGAATTTCAAAAGATGGACGGAGGAGGAAGGAGAACTATGAAGGTTGAGGTTGGAGGAAGAGGAGTACGAACATGGAGGGACGAGGAAGAGGGAGGACAAACGATGAGGGAGGGAGGAGGAGGAGGTAGGAGGAGGAGT